TGGCACCCTCATCCCAGCCGTTGTTTTCTGGGAGAAAGTCCACCTCTTGGCTGGCTGTCAGCAAAACAACAGTTTTCTGTGGCAACACAGCCCCTCTGTATCCCTGGGCCTGCTGGGCTGCTGGGAAGGTGCCCTTCATCTTCACGTGCGGAAACAGCCAGAGCGCAGCCTGTTTGCTGCATCCTGTTACAGTCAGAAAAGCCTGGCTCTGGCTTTCTCCTGCTCCTGCAGTTCTGGCTGATGAGTCTGGACCTTGGATGGGACCAGATGTCCCATTGCCTGGTTTTTAGGAGGCACTTGAGAGAGCTCTGTGAGTGAGGTGTCTCAGTCCATCAGAGCAGCTCGTCCCCCATCGAGCTGTACCTCTGAGCACCAGAGCTGTGGTGTCACAGCTGATGGGACCAGCCCTGCTGCTGTTCCCCTGCAGCCTCCTGCCAGCCCAGGATGTGGCTACACGGGTAGGAACCAGAGCTGCGGCAGAGGAGCCAGCACAAGTTTCCTGCAGAGATGGAGCCTCGGGGGCTCAGCCTGTGGGGAGGGGCTGTGGTGGGAAGCAGCCCAGCACAGCCTTCATCACCTAGACACAGAGACACATGAGCAAGCAACCAGAAGGATAACAGGGAGATGAATTTAGCCAGGATGGAGACACCAGGCACAAATATTGAAAAAAAACCAAACAAACCTCTGATTTTCTCACGGGACAAACAAAAATGGGTTGACAGAGAAGGATTTGTATCCTGCCCCACCAAGGAGCTGCAAACAGCAGCTGTGGGGTGACTGAAGGGAGTAGATGGAGGAATCAGGGTGAAACATCATATCCACAGCATGAAAAGCCAACAGCACGGATGTGGGAGAGACAGCAATCCTTTAGAGGACGATGTGGGGCTGCTGGCAGCCTGGGCATCACCAGCACAGCTATGTCAGAAAGAGATGGGCTTGTTTGGCTCAGATGGAGACAGGCTCATGGGGATAGGCAGGGACCTTGGCGTGTGCTGTGTCTCCCCTGTGCGCCCCTGGGCCCTGGCACAGCCTCCCACCACCACCACGATGCCCAGCAGTGTCTGTCGCTTGCAGAGGTGGAGTGTGTCCTCTTCAACGAGGAGTACATGACCTGCACGTGGGGGAGCAGAGCGACACTCACGGCCAACTACTCCCTCTACTACTGGTAGGTGTCCCTGCTCCACAGCCCCGTGTCCAGCAGTGGGTCCCTTGGGGGGCAGCTACTGCCAGCATTGCTGGTCCCATCAGGCTGCTCCTCCTCCACGAGCCCAGAGTGGGGCAGGCTCTGCCTCCAGGGCAAGCAGGATGGGATGTGCTGAGGAGAGGGGTCCCCAGGAGGGCTGGGCCATGTGAGGCCTTGGGGAGCCCCGGTAACTCCCTGTGGCACAGGTACAGGAACACATCCAACAAGGTGGAGTGCAAGCACTACCTGCAGGACCAGGGTGTCAGGGTCGGCTGCCACTTCAACCAGAACGAGATTATCCAGTTCCAGCCTTTCCATGTCCTTCTCAAAGCCAGCATGGGCGGCAGGACCCTGAACATCACCAGCAAACGCATGGAGCTGCAGGACCTGGGTACAGAGCGGTGGGGGGCACTCCCTCTCTTCTGCAAGGCTGTGGGTCCCCCAGGGCTGGCCCATCAGGTCCCAGCTGGCAGCAGGGCCACAGGGACGTGAGGCCAGCACTCACCAGGCATCGCTTGTGCCTTGCAGTGAAACCAGAGGCGCCCGTCAACCTGACCATTCACAACATGAGCAACAACCAGCTGCAGCTCACCTGGGCCACCACATACCCCAAAGCCAACTGCCTGGAGCACGCCGTGAAGTACAAGAGCAACAAGGACACCGACTGGACGGTGAGGGGCCCTGGACACAGCACCCTCGTGGCTGTGCCCAGAGAGGAGCTGTGCGCCGGCCCCCGTGGCAGTCCCAGCCCGCAGCCATGGCTCGTGTCTCTGCAGGAGCTCTCGGTGAATGGAGATGTCTTCTCCTTACCCAGCGTGGACTACAAGAAGTTCTACACCTTCTACGTGCGCAGCAAGATCAACAAATACTGCGGCAGCACCCAGCTCTGGAGCGAGTGGAGCGTTCCTGTGGTCTGGGGCAGCAACTCCACCAGCAAGGGTAGGCCCTGGGGGCTGCAGTGGGATAGGATGGACTGGAGCATGGCAGGGCTCAGCAGGTGAGGGATGGCCAAGCAAGTAGAGAACTGGCCTGAGGCGGCAGCTGTAGAGGCAAGACCCGTCCGGGCACCTGGAGTGCAGGCAGCAGCATCAGCCCCTGCTGCTTTGTACTTCTGGAAGCCAAACACAACCCAGCAGTGGGACCCGCTGACTTTTGCCAGGGGTTTCTTAGTACTGCAGGGCTGCCCTGGCACTGCTGAGCCAGGAGAGGGGCACCAGCCAGTTGTGGTGGTAGCATGGCAGGGCTTGGAGACGGGCCCTTTCTCCATCCTCTGCTCCCAGAACAACGCCATGGCCACTCAGTGCCATGGTGGTGAGCTGTCTGGAGGTCGGTGTCACCTTGGTTCTTTCCAGGCACAGTGCACTGGTTCTGGATCCACACGGTCTTGATCCCCATTGCCTCCTGCCTGATCTTGCTGGTCCTTGTCATCCTGCTGGTGCGCATGGAAAGGTGAGTGTTGGGGGGCTGATGAGGGGGCAGCAGCACCAGGGCTCTTCCCCTCTGACAAACCTCTCCCACACAGGATATGGGTCATCCTAATGCCCCGAATCCCCAACCCCAGCAAGAATTTCGATGAGCTCTTCATCACCCACAATGGCAACTTCCAGGTGAGGCGGATGCAGACGGCCCTGTGCCCCGGGCCTGCCCTGCACTGCAGGGTTGGGGCTGGGCTGGGTGGTGGCACCTCTCACCCTGCTCTGCTCCCTGCAGGAATGGGCTGGAGTCCCCAAAGACGTAGTGGAGAGCTTCAAGCCCAACTACAGCGAGCACATCTGCTATGTGAGCGAGCTGCCACCCAAGGACAGCTACGAGCCCCTCTGGGAGAGCGGCAACCCCCCGCCATCTACGATGCCCGGGGCCCCAGCTGCCCCCAGCGAGCACAGCCCCTACAAGAACAGCTACGGGAGAGTGTGACCCACCCCTGCACCCCCCACGCTCCATAGCTCTGCTGCCCAAAACCTCCCTGCTCTGCAGGCCCTGCTCCCTGTTCCCTGCTCCTGCCACGCCTCCTCAGATGCTCCTGGTTTTGCTTCCTGCCATGGCCACACTCAGCCCCCTGTGACACAAGGGCTGCACTGCAGCTGCTGGAGGAGCACCCTGTGCTGGGTGCCCTGGGGGCTGCACTGGGGGCACTGGTGGTGCCCTGGTGCCCACATGACCACACCCAGGGATGTGTCCTGGCAAGCAGGCAGGGGACACCGGCAAACTGATGGGGACACGGGGGATGAGGAGTGCCAGGGGGACCAAGAGTGGAAAAATAATGGAAGACACCCGAGGAGAACTGTAAACACGCTCGAGTGACTTGCAGCTGGGTGTAGAAAAACATATATACCATACTCTTAGTTGCTTAGCCTTGTGCGTTTGGCAAGTAGAACTTCTGTGTTTAGGTAACACAGGCCTAGTGATAGACTTAGTGGCACCTTATTTAACATGCTTGAGATTCCTGCCCTGCTGTGGGAAAGATCAAATCACAGTGGTAAACCAGGGCTGCACAAATCCTTGATAAACAGGCAAAGACAGCAGGTTCAGTGATCCTCCAGCACGGGCCAAGCTCCACAGTACCTGCATCCCTGCTTGTCTGCCTCTGCCCGGGTGCTGCTTGGGGGATCCTCCAGTCTTCGAGGTAATGAAAATAAATTTCCTCTTTGCCTTTCATCCGTGGTTTTGTGGTTGTTTCTGCGTCCTGCCTCTGCCAGCTCAGACAGAAAGCCACTGTGTGCCACCCTGGGGCCCTGGGCAGGCCTGGCAGTTCCCCCAAGGCCTCGCTGCTCCTTCGCTGGTTTCTCGTGGCAATAAAGCTCTGGCCAGCAGGGGCTTGTCCAGGCTTGTCACACAGGGCCTGGGGAAAGTACCAGTGGAGCCCCAACTCCTGAACACCTCTGCGTATGTTGTGAGGCAGGTGCCACCCCCACCCTCCCAGCCCCACCATCCCAGCCCCACCATCCCAGGCTGGCATCAATCAACATCAAGCATGCAGGTGAGTCCCCTCCCGGCTGTCCCATGGTGCTCCCTGCACACTGGCTGATGTGCTGTGGCCTCCCTGTGCAGTGGGCTCAGCTCTGGGCTCTGCAGCCACTGCCAGGGCCACCTGCTGCCCTCAGCCACTGCTGCTGTCCCTGCGGGAAACCAGAGCTTTCTGGTCAACACCAGCTGCAGCATCCTGCAGCTGCTCTTACAGAATCACAGAATCAATCAGGTTGGAAAAGACCTCTGAGATCATCGAGTCCAACCTATGACCGACCACCACCACATCAACCAAGACCATGGCACCAAGTGCAAGTGAGACATCCAGCCTTTCCTTAAACACCTCCAGGAACGGTGACTCCACCACCTCCCTGGGCAGCCCGTTCCAATGCCTGACCACCATTTCCATGAAGAATTTCCTCCTAACGTCCAACCCAAACGTCTTGTGGTGCAGCTTAAGATTATGTCCAGTCTTTCTGTCGCTGGTTGCCTGGGGGAAGAGCACGACCCCGCACCTGGCTACACCTTCCTGTCAGGGACTTGTAGAGAGCAATGAGGTCACCCCTGAGCCTCCAGGCTGACCCCTGGCCCAGGCTCTGCTCAGCAGGGCCGTCCCCAGCGCCGTTCCCAGCGCCATTCCCGATCCCGATCCCGATCCCGATCCCGATCCCGATCCCGATCCCGTTCCCGATCGGGGGCGTGTCCCGCGCTGACAGCGGGCCCGGCCCGGCCCCGCCCCCGCGGCGCGGCAGAGGCCGCCCCCTGGCGGCGGCGATTGGCGCAGGCGGGCCCGCCCCCCGTGCCCGCCGCGGAGCCGGCGCTGCCCCGGCACCGGCACCGGCAGCGGCACCGGCAGCGCGGGCACGGCACGGCACGGCACGGGCTCACCATGATCGTGTGTCCCCAGAGCGTGGAGCACCCCCGAGGAAGCCGATGCCAGCGGCTGCCGGGGCAGGTAGGACCCGCCCCGCCGCGCCGCTGCCACCGGCAGCCCGTACCGGAGCACCGGGCTTCGCCCTGCTGGCCGCCACCGGCCCGGTACCGCTGCGGCACCGGCAGGCCGGGGCATTCCCGCTGCCCGCTGGCGGTGAGCGGGGCCGGTGGGGTGAGGCTGCGCTCTCACGGTGCCGCGGCCGGCGGGTTGCTGTTGCTGCCGGTGCCGGTGCCGGTCGCGGTGCCGGTGCCGGTGCGGCGGTGTCGTCCCCGTCCCCTTTGTGCGGGATGCGGGAGGCGCCGTGGCTCCATCACTGCCAATCAAACTTGTTTTTCTCTCTCCGCCTGCACTGCCCGCGCCGCCCGCCGGGGGCGCTGTCGGCGCCGCCGCCCGCACAATGGGCCCCGGGTACCGGCCCCGGGTACCGCCGGGGGGGCCCCGGCCGCGGGCACTTCGCCCGTCCCCTCGAAACCCGGGCCGGCGGGGCTGGGCGAGAGGTGCCGCCGCGGCAGCATCTCCAAAGAATGTCACCGGCGGGGCCACCGGTACCGGCGGAGCCACGGTCCCGCCTGGCGGAGGGATGGAGCCCCGGCGGGGATGCCCCTCTCCGCGCATCGCGGTGCTGCCCAGGCTCGCTCCCGGCTGGCCAGGCTCTTCCAGCCTCCCTCCTTCTTTGAGCGGGAGCACCGGGGCACCGCTCCCCCGGCAGCACCGCCGGGTGGGGAGGGGGCGAGGTTGGCGGTGGGTACGGGGTCGAGGTGCCTGTTGGGGTTCAGGGGGCTTGGACACAGGAAAGCCACCCCCGGGGAGGGAGGCGATGCTCCCACCACCCAGGAGTGCGAGTGGATGCAGGGGAGGGTTATGGCCGAGGAAGGTGAGGAAGGTGGCACTGGGGGCAGGAGAGGCTGGGGAGAAAGGACTGCGGGAATGTGGCAGGTGGTCCCGGTAGGAGACACCCTGGGCTGAGCTGGTGCCTTTGGGAGGGGGCAGGACAGGGGCTGAGATCGGGGGCTGCCCTGCACCTTCCTTCATCCTCTCCTTCCAAGCCGTGTCTGCCGAGTTGCTGTCTCCACCATCACCTGGACAAGCAGAGTGAGGAGAGCTGGCAGCACCAAAGGCTGAGCCGTGGGCTGGTTGCATGGCTTCTTGCTGGGGGAAGTGGAAGGACCCCCAGTTCCTCTGCCCACCAGGAGGAGAAGACCAGTGGCTGTAGCCCCATGGGTGTCCTCACGGCAGCTCATTTCTCCAGGCAGAGGGACTTTTCAGGGCGCTTTCACAGGTCACTTCTGGCTTGCACCTTCTCCTGTGGAACAGAGAAGCTGGTGCTCCTCATCTCTTTCTATTTTAATTTGAGTTTTGGGTTTTTTTGGACCTCTTTGACCAGAGGAAGCTGATGCTCTGAATGCCATCGAGTAAATCCCTTGACACCTGAGCGATGGTGTGTTCAGCAGAAGTGCAGGGTGGTGGAGCACCGAGCCAGGAGATGGGATCTCTGCCCCTTGTAGAGCCCAGGCTTGGCTGGGGTGGGCTGCTGCAGGAGGGGCTGCTCTGGGGAGATCCAAGCAGAGTGTGTTCCCTGCAGGTAGTGAAGATGTCCGGCAGCGACCCTGAGTGCCCCCAGTTCCTCTTCGTGAAGGTGCTGGCGAGCCGGGGGCGGCTGGAGGCGGTGACCCAGCAGATGGGCTACCACCCCCAGTACCTGGACAGCTTCCTCAAGATGCAGCACTACCTGATGCACATGGATGGCCCCCTGCCCTTTGACTGCCGGCACTACATCGCCATCATGGTGAGCCCCGCTGGGAGCTGCTGGAGGGGATGGAGGCTCTGCTCAGCCCTGTGGGGCTCCCCTGTCCTTCCAGCAGACAGCCTGTGTCACGGGCTTTTCATCAGAGGCCAAAATCGTGGTGTCCTGGAGGTTGGGTGAGAGGTGGGCGCAGGGTCCCGGGGTGCCTGCAGGGTGCAGGGATGCTGATGTGCTGCCCTTGCAGGCGGCTGCCCGGCACCAGTGCCGGTACCTGGTGAACCTGCACGTGCTGCAGTTCCTGCGGGCAGGGGGTGACCCCCAGTGGCTGCGCGGCCTCGAATTCATCCCCCCCAAACTCCGCAACCTCAACGAGATCAACAAGATCCTGGCACACCGGCCCTGGCTCATCACCAAGGAGCACATTGAGGTACTGGGGGAGGGCTGTCAGCCAGGGAGCAGGGCAGCAGTGGGGTCAGCAGTGTCCCCAGAGGCTGCCAGCACCCTGCCCACCTGCCCATGTCACAGTGCTGGTGTGTCTGTGTTCTGCAGAAGCTGCTGAAGATCAGCGAGTGGAGCTGGTCGCTGGCGGAGCTGGTGCACGCAGTCGTCCTCCTGGCACACTGCCACGCGCTCGCCAGCTTTGTCTTCGGCTGTGGCTGCGAGCAGGACGAGGGGCTGGGGGGCCGAGGCTCCCTGAAGGGCCTGTCCCTCGGGAACCAGTGCTTCTGCGAAGCCACCGCCGGCAACAGCTGCAGCCAGGAGCTGCTGCGCATCAACCGCAAGCGGGTGAGCCCCCGAGGGTGGCTGCGCTGGGGAAGGGGGTGCAGCCACCACTGCTGCCCTCACCCTCAGCCTGTGTCTATGCAGTCCCTGGACTCCTGCATGGAGCTGGATTCCCTCCGGGAGCGCATGCAGCGGATCCACGTGGAGACCGAGGGCAGGGAGGAGATGAGGCTGCTGCAGCAGGAGCGAGAGGAAGGTGAGGGGCAGGGAGTGGAGGTGGGTGTGCAGGGTGGGGGTTTGTATAGCACACCTGGGGGTTTCTCCCTCATGCCTTACATTTTCCATGATGCGGGGTTCATAGAGGGGCTCACGGGATGCACGTGGGGCACAGCAAGGGCTGGCTTTTGGTGCCTGCTGTGGCTGGGAACAGGGCAGCTGAGCACCACTCTGACCCGTTTGCAGGGCTCTCCTTTCTTGCAGATCCTGATGGAGAAGTCACCGGTGCCACCAACCTCGCATGCTACATGCAGGACCCTGACTTTGGGTACCAGGACTTTGCCCGGCGCGATGAGGATCAGACGCAGGTATTCAGAGTCCAGGTAAGGCTCCTGCTCTCTCGGTGGGCGGCAGCCCAAGCTGCTGCCTCTCCGCTCCTCGTGGCAGTAAATGGTGGCAGGGGTGCCCATCCAGCCTGGATCTGGCACAGCTGCTTTTGCAGAATGCTGAGTGGGGAAGCCCAGCTCTGAGAGGGGACCTGCCCCGCTGGCGTTGGGAAGAGGGAGGTGACCCATGAGTTCTGTCCCCAAGGGCTGATGATTTCTTTGCATGGCCCTCACAGTGGCAAGGGTGAAAATCATTCAAAAGCTGCCTGATAAGGGATGTTGTGGTTTGTGGCAGAGGTGCCCCTAGAGCAAACTTACTGAATTCTGCTGTGTCCTGAGGTCTCCAGCCCTTGTTCTTGGAAACATGCTCCAAGCTCCTTCTTGCAGTTGCAAAAGCCTCTTGCTGTGCTCATCAGGATTATTCCTGGGAAGACCATGGCTTCTCACTGGTCAACCGGCTCTACTCCGACATCGGGCATCTCCTGGATGAGAAGTTCAGGATGGTGGATGGTCTGCAGAGCAGTGCCATGGCCAAGCGGCAGGGCTGTGAGCCCTCTGTCTTCAAGCGGGGCATCTGGAACTACATCCACTGCATGTTTGGCATTAGGTAGGGAAACCAACCTCATGGTCCAGGGGAGGAAACTGAGCTGGCCCAGGTGGGAGGAGGGTACAGGACTCAGGCTGTCTTGCAGATGAGTGTGGGAAAGGGACAGAGGTGAACGGCCTGCCTGCTCTGGCCAGGGCAGGGAGCTTTGGGGACAGGGTTTCAGTGCCTGGTGGCCATTGCCATGTGTCCCCTGCCCCGTGGCTGTGCCCCAGGCAGACCACAGGCAACGTGCTGGCTGTGACTCTCCCCTGTGCTCCCCACAGGTACGATGATTATGACTATGCAGAAGTGAATCAGCTCCTGGAGCGAATGCTCAAAGTTTACATTAAAACTGTAACCTGCTACCCAGAGAAGACAAACTCAGAAATGTTTGACAGGTTCTGGAAGCAGTTCAAGCACAGTGAAAAGGTGGGATGGCTGTCCCCTGGCTCTGACAGGCTGAGGTGGGGGTGGGAGTGGGTATGGGCTGCAGACTGGGGTGCTTTGGGGGTGTATGGGAGATCTTTGAGCCACCAAACCAGTCTGAGGCAGGTGGGGGGGGGGGAGTGGAAACTGGTTGGTTGTGAGGAGTTGGGCTTAGCATGGCATGTAGCTGCGCAGTGTGACGAGCACAGGGACCACCAGCAGCACAGGGATCTCCAAGGTCGGTAGCCCATCAGTGAGTGCCTCCAGCCGAGCCCTCCTTCGAGCTGCACCTCACAGGAGCAGCTGCTGTGGCTGTTGGGGACTGTGCTGGTGCCAGCCTGGCCATGCTGCTGCCAAGTATGCAGGGGACTCCCTGGCACATTGCTGTGGGAAGCAGGCACAGCCTGCAGGACTGGGAGGAGGGGGAAAGGAGAGCTACCTGAGCTGGAAAAAAGGGGTGGCATTTTGTCCCAGGCCAAAAGAGTCGCTCGCCCAGGTGAGCGGTTGCTCGCCCTGCTGCCCACAGCACACTGCAGCTGCCTGAGCCTCTCTCTGCTTTTCCTGTAGGTCCACGTGAACCTGCTCATCCTGGAGGCCCGGATGCAGGCAGAGCTGCTGTATGCACTGCAGGCCATCACCCAGTACATGATCTCCTAGACGGCGGGGGCTGCGCTGCGGCAGGGCCGGGCAGCGCCCTCGCTCCCTGAACTCCTGCGGGACCCGGCACGCTGGGACCCACGGCGAGGGATTTCTCAATTTAGTTTACTTGACTGTCTTGTTCCTTTTTGTTGGTTTTCCCCCCCACCCCACCCCGCCTTGTGGGGCTCACTGAGTGGCCCTGTTACGTGCAATTACCAAACTGTGAGGCGAGTCCGTGCTGCTGAGATGCTGGAGACTTGAACATGTCCAAGGAGGACTGCCAAAAACATGGGGGGAGAGGGAAGCAATAGGGGACTGGGGCCAAATTAGAGGGATGCTCTCCCACGAGCAGAAGCTCCTTGCCCAGGTGGTGTGTGGTAGCCTGGGTGCCACAGGGAGGGCAGAGGGGAAAGCTGGCTTCCTTCCCTGTGCTGCAGTGGCTGCCCTGCTTTGCAAAGCCACCCTTGGGCACCTGTCCTCACGGGGGTGATGTCTGTCACTTGGGAACAGCATGGGCAGAGTGTGGGTGTGTTGCAATGTCCTGAGTTGTGTGGTTAGGCAGCAAGAAACGCTGGCTCCCAGCAAGGGCCCTTCTCCAGCCCAGGACAGCAATGGGATGCACTTGCTGCCTGCACGTAATATCCTTTAGGTCCATGTGCCAAACCCCTCTGGGATGGATGAGAGATGACCCGAGGCAAACTCCAAACTGTGAAGCTCTTGCTGGCAGAGTGTCCTAATGCTTTGCCTTCTCCAACAGCAGGGTGAGAAGGTCTCTGACAGTGTTCAGGCACTGGGGGTTTCTGCAGGGGACTTTGGGCAGTCCTAAGCCCTTCCTCTGCCTCCCATCAGCACAGAGGCAGGAACAAGGAAGGCTTCCTGACTTAACGAGGTTTGTGTCTTCTTACCACCGTGGGAGGGCTGAGGTCCTGTGCCCAGTCACTTGCTGCTTAACAGCATGGTGGAGGAGCCTGTGGTCAGCACAGGGTAAGCACAGGAAGCTTCTCCTTGATCCTGGCCCCTTTGAACAGAGGCAGCCCATCCACCAGCCCTGCCCTCTGCCTGGGGGGGCAGAAGCTGCACCATCACTCCTCGTGTGTCCCTGGGTTGTTCCCTGGCCACGCCACAGCCCCTGGCTGGGGGGGTGTGAGGGATCCAGCACAGGCTCTGGAGAGCAGCCACAACAGGGGGATGAAGCCACCCGTTGTAAGTGGGAGCCTGAAGCGAGGGCAGCTGTCGAGTCAGCCAGCGCGCGCTGCTGCAGTCGGCCTGTTTACTGCGTAAATGTACGGGGAGAAAACCTTGTGTATGGAAGCTACAGAAAAAGCCTATTTTTGCTATAAATATATTATGTTTGACATGGATGCCTGCTTTATTTCTTGCCAGATGTCAGGGAGGGGATTCCACCTTGCATGGCTGCTCTGAAGGCAGGACAGCAGTGCCTGGCTGACCGCAGCCCTGAGATGGCCCAAGCTCCAGGAAAAGCAACGTTCTCAGGCATGTTGGGGTCCTATGCTGACAGCTCTGGTCCATGGCCAGCTCACTGAGGCTGGACCTGTCCTGTACAGGTCAGCTCTGTCCTCTTGTGCTCAGATGAGCAACTGCTGCAGTGTTGTTTGATAGGAGAAGAGGAAAGTTTTTCAGGGGTTCCAGTGCTCTGGTAATAGAGGAGTGTGCCAGAGGAAGGAGCTGGTTGGTACCAGGGGAGCAAGGCCAGAAACCAGGACCAACTCTTTCCTGAGCCATACTGCAGGTGCTCCCCTGCACTGGGGCTGGGCTAGTTTGTACTGGGCTAAACTGGTGCCTGGGCAATAAAATGCCAGGACAACTGGTGCTGGGCAGTACCAGCTGAGTCAGTACTGGTGCTGGGGCAGTGGCACCAGCGCAAGGATAACTGATTCTGGGACAGCTGCCACCAGACTTGGCTGGACAGCGCTGGGACTGGCACTGCTGTACTATCATTTAGCCCCAGTGAGGGCTGGGCAGGGATCAGGAGTAGCAGTGGTTAACCATGGCAGCCTAGCTACCTGCCAGCCTCTCCCCTGTCCCTGCAAAAGCAACTCTGTCCCCTGCAGGGCTGGGACGAGCCACAGCAGCCAGTTCTCCCCAGGGCTCCCTGCTCCCTGTCACAAGGCAGTGACAGCAGTGCTGGCTGGGGGTGCAGGGCTGTCTGTCCCAGCCAGTGTGGAACTGGCTCCCTGTTGCCCCCATCCCCCTACACTTGCACAAAGGGTTGGCGATGCAGGAGCTGGGGCAGCTGCCACTCGCTCTGGCTTGCAGACAAGCCCCAGTCACACCAACAAGATGAAGGGCTCCTTGGGCTGTCAACCCTGACCAGAAACGAGCAGAGCTGCTGGCAAGGCCAGGGAAGGCTGCCAGCCTCAGGCAGTCCCACATGGCACGCCACGAGTCTGGCAACTTCAACGTTTGGGCCCCTACCCTGGTGCCCCCCCTGCCCTTGGACTGGGATATTCCTCTCCATTGCTCTGTGGCTGGAAGGAGGAGAACATGAGGCACATCACCTCTGCAGGAACCCTCCAGGATGCCCTGCACACCCACGTGGGAGCCAGGCCACTGCAACTGTACCTGGAGTTACTGAGGGGAGGCTGCAGGCACACATCCAAAGCAGTCACCGAGTTTCTCACAAAGCCTGTAGCAGAAAGAAGCGCTGGCAGGTGCAGCCAGGACTGCTTTTGTAAGAGCTGAGCCATTCCCAAGCTGCACAGCGGGAAGAATGGTGTGTCCAAGCCCACAGAGAACACCAAGTCACACTGCAGCAATGGTAGTGCCACAGGTCCTACAACCCACTCGTGACAAATCAGGCCCATGGCTGCTGCTCTCACCTCAGCTGGGAGGGGGAACACAATAGCATGTGGGAGCCGAGAATGGCTCTGGAGCAGGCAGTGTGCACCCACCACATCCCCCTTCCCCAGCCTGCCTTCCTCACAGCCCAGCTCCTCCACCACAAAGGACACGATGCAGGGCAGCAGAGTTCCCTGCTGTGCTTTCATCTGTGGTCCCATCCCTGGTGGCACAGAGGTGTCCATCAACCAGCAGACAGTTCCCCTAAGGATCTCCTCCTCATCCCCCATTTTTGGAGACTGGCTTAAATCTTGAAGCAGCAGCCTTAAGACCCCTTGAGAGTTATTTGCATTAACTGTTGTAAAGAATACCATTGAAAAACAAGAGTGTTATCAGATATTATTGAGGATCCAAGGCTTTGAATGCAAGTTTCCAGGCTGTACATATACTGTGCAATTTCATGAACCAGAATTTATCCCCAGCAGTTTTAGGATATCCCTGATTTGCTCTCTGTGTGTCTAACCAGGCCAGTGGAATCCATGCTTTCCACTCCTTCCCTCGTTTCCCTCTGATTTCCTTACCTGCCACCACTCCACAGCAACATGACTGAGGCTCTGAACTGGTCTCCTCTTCTGTAAGATCTCTCCTGAGCTGTGGTGCACAAAGCAACCCCAGGGCAGAGGGAACAGCACATTTTCCAGCTTCATCACAGCTGCAAGAAGGAAAACCTGCTGCAATGACATCCTGTTTTGAATCAAGGGCTCCAGCACATTCCTCACAAGCTGCTTCACTGGCTCAGACCGTATCTCCACTACTACTTGTCTTATGTCAAGGAAGGGCCTCCCTGAAGTTCCCACCTGAAGCCTTCTCCTGCCCAAGAGGCCTCTGAGCAGTCCCAGGGAATGACCAGCTCCTGGTTTACACTGACATTCATATCCCCTTTAATGGGCAGCTTTGAGCCATTATCTTCCAACACAAAAAAAACCCCTCCACAGCTGTAGTAACCTTCCTTTTTTGATGGACGATTTGGAGTATGTAGGCAAAGATAAAAGCTCACTCACGTGCTTATCTGTCCTAATTATGTGTCAGCATCTACTTGTGAATTGGGTGGCTGAAAGAAGAGAGTAGCAGCAAATCCATCCCTCTGTTCCCAGAGATAACAGGTAGAGCTGCTGACACGCAAAGATATCTGAATGTGGCTGTATAACATGGAGTCACCTTCTGCACTCAGGTCTAGAAGGGAAAGGAATGAAGGGGTTAGAACAACTCTACAGACAACTCCTGAAGGACTTAAAACTCCCCAGGGCCAGTTTTAGGGCTTGGCACCCCATGGATCCCACATGCTGCCAGTAAGTTGTAGCTCCACATGCTGCAGAGCACACTGGAGCCTTCGTGGGCTGTCACACTGCAACCCTTCCACCTCTGGCCAACTAAGGGGCATTTCACTGAGGGGCTGCCCTAAGAGGTGAGAAGGGCAGTGGAAAGACAACGTCAAGGAAAAACAGCTGGTCCTTGCCAGGAAAACAGAACAAACTGGATGAGACACAGAGCAGAGGATTACAGGTTTTTATTTTTCAAACATTCCCCCCTAGTCTAGCACATTCTAGTCTTGCTAGCACAGATGGTAACAAAGAGCCTGTAATGGTTCAGAAGTTACACTGCTACAGAGAGCAAACAAAAGCAGAGGTTTATTTTCTAAAAAAATTTATTGTGAGAAATGGGTGAAAAAGTGCAGAGGGGATGGGGTGGAAACTATGTCAGCTAGTGGTGCCTGCCCTGTGTGCAGCAGACATCTGTGCTAGCAATGCAGAAACCCTTCCTGGAGTCGCACCAGGTGGAGACTCCACTGTGCTGGAAGCATCATTTCACAGAACCACCCCCATTGCCTTATGAAGAAGGCTCCTTTCAGGACAAGCAACCTATCTTCTATGTAGCCAAAGCTCTCAAGACACCTCGGGGAGCCCCACACCATGAGCTCTGAACATCCCGCTCTACCACGCACCGTAACGCTGCCTCAGCCAGAGAACCAGAAACGCACCACCACCAGCTCTGTCACCTTCAGCATCTGCCACCTCTTCTCCCTGCTTTACACCACAGCACTAGCTCTGTGATTCTGAGCCACCAGAGATGGTTTTCCGTCAGCTACAGACACGTCAGGGTGCACAGAGGGTGGTGAAGAGAGGAGATCCCTCTCCTGAAGGCCGAGCACTGTGGTGATGGGTTACCACACGCTACCGAGCTCTCACATGGACTGATGTCTCAGGCTTCAGAAGTCACCTCCTGCTTGCTTTCCCCCACGGTAATTAGAACATGTTTTTCATTGGACATGAAACTGAGGCAAACCCTAAGCTATCCCTGTTCATGCTCGTGTCCCAAAGCTGATTGATCTCTGAGGGTTTTTTTTTATAATGGGTCCAAACTTTCACATTTTGGTGACACTCTGGGACACCACTTCCAAGGCACTCCTACCCATGGCACCAGACACAGGTTTCTCAATCCTGGAGCAAGGCTAGCCCTGAAGCATTTGAGTGTGGCTATAAATAAGCAACTAAGTAAGAAAATTAACAAATTATGATCTACATAAAAGCTTTCTAGGCATTTCCTTTGGAAAAGCTGATTAGTGCTACTTTGCTTCTATTATGATTCTTGTTTATGAATACATCCAGGCTCTGGAATGCTTCATTCCTTTCACCAGGATGACTCGACTGCTTCTTTTTAAAGCAGCACAGGGTAAGGATGACATGTTTTTAGACACATCAACAAGGAAAATTAAGGGCTCCAAGAAGCTTTCGATATTTCAAGCTCTCACATGAAGCTGGGAGCATAGTAAAATATGCTTAAATTATAAAGAAAGCTCAAGCAATTTGCTAAACCCAGGTGTAAATAAAAGCAACAAGTCTGCCTCCCACTAAGCTCCATGGGTCTAGTTACCTAAATCCTTCGTGGCCCTGAGCTGCACGGTGGCTTCACACTGTAAAAGATGGCATTTGATCCTCTGAAGATGGAGAAACGTGTTACCTGAGCTCAGTGAGGACAAGGAACACAGCACAAAGTAAGGCTTCGTGCCAAGGGTTCCCTGCCCACTCCCCTCAGGCACTACTCCAGGAGCATCACTCCCATGTCACCGGCCCCTTCCCTAAACAACTGCTCTCAAAATCCCAGTCCAACCCTTCCTTAGAGCAAAAATTCACCCCTCAGCGTGGGGCCTGCAGTGCTAGTGCAGAATGAAGAGCCACCAAGACACTGTCCCACCTCCTGCAGCAGCCAGCAGCAAACACACTTTTGAGCAAGAATACAAAAAAAATAGACAGATATTGAGCAACCCCCTGCCAGGTATAGCCTTTCAGCAAGCAGCAGTTTAGGAACTTTAAAGTCTCCCGTGTCCTATGAGGAAATACCCCAAGCTGGAAAAGCTCAAGGTTTATGAAAATGAACTTAGTTAAGAAGTGTCTGTAGAACTCCTGAATTCTCTTCATTCCTGCCCTCTGTGCCCACAATACAAGCTATCCTGCTAAAAACATAAAAGAGAAGGTAAGTTGCCTGCTTGACCCTGCAACGTTAC